ACGTTAACTTACGTACCGTAACTACGTACGTAACTAACTTAGTACCGTACGTCGTCGACGTACGTACGTACGTCTACACACACACACACACACGACTCACACACACACACACACACACACACACACACACACACACACACACACACACACACACACACACACACACACACACACACATGCATGCAAGTACGCACACATACATGTACACACACGCACACGCACTCGCACACGCACACGCACACGCCCATGTACACGCACGAACACACATGTATGCATGCGTGTGCGCGTATGCGCGTGCGTGCGTACGTGAGAAAATGTTTTGATTATGTTTCGACAAAAGTGGTTCAAAAATCGGTCAAGACATTTATTTCCAAAAACAAACAGTTGTGCATTATTGTGCATAAACAACCATTAAGAAGATGAAACCTAATCCGTCGCCTGCATTGCAACCTTAGTCAACGAACAGTAGCATAGCGCCTGCGTAGCGCATAGTATAACATTAGTGGTGCGCGCCCCCACCGTCTATAGGCGCCCACTCCAGCGTTTTAAAGCATCCGTGTATCACGCAGCTGGTTCGTGACAGCATGTCTCTGTATTTTCTTAGCGTTCTCCGGCTTTGCATCCATAAAAGCAATTCGCAACAGCTTGTTCTTCCACATGGCAGATCTAAGCGTGCAAAATTCATCTTCGCTCGTCTTTCAAGGGAACACGCGTGTGCGCTCGGCCGAAAATGCATGCAATCACTTCAGTTTAATACAACTTATATAGTGGATCGACGGTAGAATATCATTCGAATGCGGAAAAAATTGCAAATTTGTGAGAAATCGGCCATAGGCAGTTACTACTGATAAAAGTTTTTTTGCGATAGATAGAAAAGTTTCATTGTGATAATACTCGCCTCCCCAACCATCTCCCGTAACTATACCTGCCAAGTCCCTCCTCATCGATAATCGATATCTTTTACATGATTGGTTGTCCCGCTCCGCCGCTCGCTCCACACTTCTCACGCAGATTCTCGGCTGCCTTGCAGATGTAGACTGCTGCCAGGCTGGCATCCGCCGAAGAACAGCTACACGACCGACTGCAATGTCGTCCATCTACACGCTGGAGAGTCGCCGAGAAAAAAATGTCGCCACAAGACGGAAATCGTCGTCAAAGACGTCGCCGATCAGCTCGTGACGGCGCTGTGATCGCTCGGTCGCTGACACGACGGTCGTCGGTTACGAAGGCCGGCCGGATCCGACTCCTGCATGGTCAGAGTCTGACCGGTTTTGTCTCGTTGGCTGCGCAGACGGACGGACGTCTGCTCCGCTCTTCGACGCGTGAGAAGATACTGGTCGGATCCGACCGGATCCAACACCGATCGATCAGAGTTCTTCTTGATGAGAGTCTTTATGACATGACAGGGCGAGAGGACTCTTGTGGTGTTACACCTGCATGCGTGTCCCGTTCGCCTCGCCGCGACGATCTTGAACATTGACCTCGTCGTCATGATTAATTTATGTCGTCGCATCTCTCGACGAGACGGCCATTTCCAAATTGGCAGTGAGAATGGTGTTGAATTTCTCCGACTGCGCGTTCGGAGATTTAATGGGATTACCCGATGAAAGTGACGCTTGGCGTGCGAGAAGACGTCGACAATTTGATTGAGAATGTTGCCGACGCGAGAGAAGACGTCGGCCATTAAATAAGAATGCTGCCGACGTGAGAAAGAACGTCGGCAATTGATTCGCATCCGGGACATTATTCGGGAGGTAGCGATAACGTGAATGTGGAAGAGTCCCTCGTTATGAATCGTTACGATGCTTCTCTGCACCCACTCCTCCCCTTCTCCCCTCCTCCCGCTTTCCTCCCCTCCCAGCTGCTTCCACGCAACAGCATATTCTGCTTCGCCCGCGAAAGTGTATTAAACCGTTATAGGGAAAATCAATAAAAAAAATTCTCCCGTTCACTCCGTACACGCGATTTTTTCTCTTTGTCTCGAAGTTGTGTTGAAATCTCTCAGGATCCAGATCCGCCGCGATATATATCTATCGACCGTAACGCCTGGTCTCCGATGACTACTTTCAGCCGAACAAGTGGCAGCTTTGCGGCGCGTAGACACATTACCTGCTAGTCCCCCTCCTCTCTCCCACCACTTATCAGCACGAACGCGTATCACTCGCCGTGTATCGCCGCGTTGCTCCTTAAATGCGCGCGGAATTTGCGCGGGAAACTATATCTGGTCGGTAATCTGCCAGCCTGTCAAAAGATGTCTGAAGCTGTTCGCTGTCTGCGGCAGCAGGGTCGTTATGGCAACCCGTCGTTGCGTGACCCGTCGCAAGTACGTTCTAATTCCGTCGGGAATCTGAGGAGCTCTTCCGTGAGCATCGAGCAACAACTAGCGAGTTAAGCATCTTACACGCGTACCATTACCCCTCGAAGCGTCGATGCGAGGCTGCGCGTAAAGAGTGAAATAGCTGTAAATGAATAAGAGGCAGTTAGAGAGAGAGAGAAAGAGAGAGGGGCGAAAATAGAGACAGAGAGATAGAGAGAATGAGAGAAAATGTGCGAGATCGAGAGAGGGTAGAGAGATAGAGGCAGCGAGGGAGAGGGGGAGAGAGAAAGAGAGAGGCAGGGGCAGAGAGATAGAGGCAGCAAGGAGGAGGGGGAGAGAGAAAGAGAAAGACAGGGACAGAGAGATAGAGATAGAGACAGAGGGAGAGAGTGCGAGGAAGAGGGAGAGAAAGTCCGGGAGAGAAGAGAAATAAAATGTGAGTGAAGGAGAGGGAGGAAAGAAGATGGAGAGGAATGATAACAAGCGGTCGCAAAAGAAAGAGAGCCAGAGCGAGAGAGCGAGAGATCGAGAGAGAGAATGTGTGGGGGAGGGAGAGGAAGTGGAACGAAGGGAGAGTGAGAGAGAGGGGAACAAGAGAACGAGCGAGGAAAAGAAGCGAGGTAGAGGGATAGAGAGAAAGGGAGCGGGCGTCTAAATAAAATAAAGAAGGGAAATGTGGCAAGAAGAGTAAAAGTGAAGGATAGATGAAGTTATGGAAAGGAAGGAACAACGGAAGAAAATATGTAGAAATTACAAGTAGCGGGAAGGAGGGCGGGAGGAGGAAGGGGTGGAGATAGGAAGGCAAGTTGGGCAAGGCAGTATAAATCGATGAAAGCAGGGAGGTTATAGTAGGAGAATTTATGGTATCGAGGTAAATTATAGGGACAGATAGGGACGGTAGAGAGAGAGAGAGAGAGAGAGAGAGAGAGAGGAGGAGAGAGAGAGAGAGAGAGAGAGAGAGAGAGAGAGAGAGAGGAGAGAGAGAGAGAGAGAGAGAGAGAGAGAGAGAGAGAGAGAGAGAGGGATAGAGGAGGACGGGAGAGGAGGAAAGAGGAGGCATGAGTGGTATAAGGGCGACAGATTAAAATGGGATATACGATGACGGAGACGCTTCATGGCGAGTACTTACAGATTAGAATCCGTGTGTGTGTGTGTGTGTGTGTGTGTGTGTGTGTGTGTGTGTGTGTGTGTGTGTGTGTGTGTGTGTATGTGTGTGTGTGTATTGTGTGTGTGTGTGTGTGTGTGTGTGTGTGTGTGTGTTGTTGTGTGTGTGTGTATGTGTCGCGTCGGTAATGCGCGCGTGCGTGCACGTCATTGCGTGCCTGTTCAGAAAGCTATTTCATAGTGTGTCAGTATCCAGAGTACTGCCAATACGACATGTAAAACCTAGCAGTCATCGCTATCTTATTCGCATTTATCGAATCCTCGGCAGTGAAACACAAATCCATGATAACTATCCGTTTGGTTTGTTCCGCGGATTAAGCATGCTCTGACAAAAATCTCCTTTGCGCGTCCTCTTACATCCAGCGTAGCAAAATTACTGCGTCACAGCAATGAGTATATATAAAAGAACCAATTAGTGCCTATGTTAAGCCGCACGGGCCATCGCGGCGTGGCCACGTAATTAGAAAAGGAGAGCGGGACAGTAGGAGTATTACGATAGCAAATCATTATCCCATATAGACAGCCGAATATTATCCCATAGCCATTATCCCATATGCATACCGAAAAATTCCAATAAATTAGCAAATATTTTGGTTTAGAGAAATCACAATGCCCACCTCTGGATTGACGTTGCGAATGACACCATATGTGTTGTTAACTCAAAAATCAATTTCTGTAAACGAGCATTTCCCGGCACGCACGTAAAATGGCCATTTTTGCAACAAGATTCTACGCTAAACTATAGCCTTCGTTTAAAAATTATCCCGGCTGTACAGGAATGCACACCGAAGGAGCCACACATTCTGTCAGATGCGGGCAAGTATTCCAGATTTTTGAACCCTAACCCTTTTTATTGAAAACTGGAAAAAAGGAATCGCACGAATACACAGCAGAGCGATATATATAATTATTTCACCTCCCCCAACGCTTATTGGCTGCTTTGCACGCGTAATACCTCAGCAGGAGTAAAGTCCAGTTTTAACTCACAAGTTTAACTCACAGTGGCGCTCCGCTGTTACGCCTCATGAAAGGTCGAACTACGCTCAGTACAAATAACGACCCTCCTCCTCCTCCTCCTCCTCAGGTTAAATGCGTAGTGAATAGAGATGGACTAGGATATTAGCAAGGGACATTCACGGTGTTCGGCAATGCGTAGTCCCGTGAGATGGTTTGCATGCACCCAACATCATTAGTCGCATGTCGAATAAAATTATTAACCAGAAATTCCATCGATGACTATTCACTTATTCATATGCTATTCAAAACCGAAAGCCAATCATTAACTACCCGTAATGGCTCGCCGATTTTATTTTCGAACGTTCTGTCTCCGCTGAGCGTTTCCGTATGATTTCATGGCGACGTCAGTTTAATGCAGCGTGTCACCGTATGCGGTTTAACTACATCCACATTACGTGATTAAAATGATGCAGTCTCGCCTAATCGGACTGCTGGACATCTGATTAGACACCGTGCGGAAACGACAGAACTCCATTTCGCATCGCCGCTCATGCTAATAAGCTGCAAAAGAATTGCCATGAATCAGCAGCAAGAGTTGTTTGGATAAATTGAAATGCCACCCGCTGAATTTCGAGACTGCTATGCGGAGGATATCTCTATTGTTAACGCAAATATTCTACCGTATTTATTTTTGTAAATGAGAAGATATTAGTGAAGAAGGCGCGGCGAGCAAGTCATAACGTGGTTTTACATCGAAGACAGCAGGATTCAATGTGCCTCTCCCGGTCACCACAGCAATATACACATAACGATCCATGAGTATCAGTACACCACACCCTTGAATGACAGTAGAGAGAATGCTAGCTTTCAAAAATATAATCCGCCATCAAATTCTTTTAGATCCTCCCAAATTGTTGCGTTTGTGATATAAAAAAAAGTCAAACATCTGCGCGCATGTTCCATAGACCCTACAATTTCATTCCCCCTTTCTCTGATTGGCTGATTTACACGCGTGGTGTTATTAGTCGTCATTCGAGGTTACGTAAGCGTCACGTGATTATGTATACTGGCAGTTGGCTTCTTCGGGCGTTAACGCTAACTACGCCACAAGTTCCTGCTGGTACGTCTAGAGCTACAAAAAAAAGCAGGATGCCACACAATACGGCAGCCGGTCGAGCAGACCCGATCAATGTGCCTTCCTCGCTTATTTCCTGTCGACCACACAGAAGAGATTTCGCTCGTAAAAAAAGAAACGACATCCGCTCAACAACAACCACAACAAAAAGAAAACGAATCCCGTTGCTCTCTAGAGAAAACCTTATCGCCCACTTTCAGGGCATTCGGTCGAAATTTCGTTTCGCGCGCGTGCATGGGGGCTTTAGCGCATCGTTCATATCATTAGCGACAACTGCTGAAGCTGTAATGTGCGCTGTTAGCGCGCACGATACGGCCGCGTGGCTGCTATCGAGCCAGCGTACGTGTAAGCGACATTTGATAGGTCGGCCGTGCAGCCGCGTTACAACCGCTCCAGTGGTGCGAATCCACGTCGCTTTAGCGGGCGGGCGGGCGGGCAGCTGATGGCATCGGGCAGCTGATGGCAGAGCGGGCTTTTTATGCGTACGTTTCTTTGCATGCGCGTGTATTAGTTTGCGTGCGTGCACGTGAGAGCATGTGTATGGGGACGTGGGTATTACATCGGATGGGATTGCCCATTACAAGAGCCATTCGTGATTTCGAACGGCCATCGCGTTTTCCCTATCAGTGCGTTTGATTCGCACTCACGTAACCCACGCTGCGAATTCTGATTGCCTGCTTGCATAGTATGCATACGCTTTGTGGATGCATTCAAAAATAAATGCGAGGTTTCGCATTGAAAGCTTCTACTAATAGCGGCATAGTGGCGCGATTATGCGGGAAGCTCGATAAACGGGA